GGGGGTGGAGAGACACCTGTCCCACTGACGCACCACAGCCGTGACATTCCAAGCCTCAGCCCTGGGTCAGACGGCCGAAGGTATTCGGAGACGTCTCCGGATAGATACTGCGGGGTCACACGGGTGGCAGAAGATATTCGGAGAAGTCTCCGGCGAGCACCCGGGAACTATTCGGAGACGTCTCTGGTGAGCACCCAGGAACTATTCGGTGACATCTCTGGTGAGCACCCAGGAAATATTCGGAGACGTCTCTTGCGAGCACCCAGGAACTATTTGGAGACGTCTCCGGCGAGCACCCAGGAACTATTTGGAGACGTCTCCGGCGAGCACCCAGGAACTATCCGGAGACGAAATGGGCTGTTTTATCAATGTCATGCTCATATTGTGCCGGAACAACACATGGGGGAACTGCTGCTTTTTCTTTCCTCATCCTGACTGTCGTCATTTTCCCTCTATTTCTTTTGTATGTTTGTCACTCTCTTGAGAACTGCTATTTCCGGGGTGCCTTGAAAGTCGAAGCAGACTTCATGCTGTTGAGGCGAGAGAGGTGAGCAGAGTAAGCCTGATTCCCTGTTTGGACTTCTCTGTTGAATAATGCATTTTCGAGCGCCATAAAAAAAACACAAAACCATACTAAAACTAAAAACATGCGAACGAACAAAGAAATAAATGCTCGGAACTGATCTGACCTAGTGTGCAGATCTGGGGTTCACAGAAGGATTTGTTATGTGTCTTACAGGAACAGGAAACAGCTGGCTATGACCGTTTGATGTGCGCACTTACATTGGGGTGGGAGGTGGGGGTTATACTTTACTTTTACCGACAAGCACCAGCTGTCTTGACAAGCCTGGGAGAAAGACAGACAGAAATAACTCTGTGAGAGAAGACAGCTTTTCTCCGAATGAGGGACCATGTCCCTATGTTTGCTTAGTGCTGAGTGATTTTGAGAAACGAAAATTCGTCAACACTTCGAAGCGTGAAGTTATTATTCGTGTTATTCGAATACCGTTGCAATTATTTCTTCTTTCTGTATAATATTTTAAGTCCATCAACAACATTCACTATTCAATATTCACTATTCATGAATAGCCGTATCCACTAATCACTCTATCTTGTAACCACTAGGTATTTTGTATTCCTATATTTGACTCCGTGGTTTTGGATACTTTATATGCTCTAATTTTTTTAAATAAATAACAAATAACACGTTTATTTGTCAAGGAAGGGCACTTTGGTTCACAGGGGCAAACATACATTTACATGCATAAATACATTATTATAGATACGTGCAAACATAACTACATGCATAAATAGGTACATAAATACACAATATTACACAAATACAGAACAGTTTACACCAATGCCACTGTCGGTCGCTGAGGATAATCAGACAAAAAATCCCGCTATATGGCTGAGAATGCTGGACAATCACTAAAGACAGTGAAAATAAAGTAGAAGCAACGGAAATGTGGTTTCTTAGAAGACCGATGAGAATATCTCGGAAGGAAAAGAAATCAAATGAGGTCAGGGCTTGATGAAACGACCATATATATATATATGGGATCTTATGTATATATATATTTATATCTATATCTATCTATCTATCTATCTATATGTGTGTGTATATATATATAATATATAATATATACACACACATAAGATCCC